CCCCAAAACCCCAAAACCCCAAAACCCCGCATTTATCGATTGTGTAAAAATAAATGAGTTTGATAGTTATAAATACTTGAACTGATTTCATTAAGGTTTATTCAATATTATTTGCATTTTGGCAATGATTTTTGAGAGTTGCTCGATATTTGGCCTTACGGAATCTGGGGCTCCTCTAATTACTTTATCAAAATATTCCGATGTTATCTCTGAGTTTTTCCCAAGAAGTTGCTTCATCTTTAAAAGGGCTTTATTAGTATCGTCAATTTAACATTCAATTTTGGTGATCATGATTGAGGTCTTATCCTACTTAAATCTGTCTTCCTCCTCTTACTACTCTTTATTAAGTTTCTTACTGATAGCCTCGTTTTCATCTTCTTGCTCTAATAGGACTTCAGATCTTTGCAGAGTGTCTCTTTTGAAATAATATTCTGTGTCAAGCAGGAAGTCTGGGATTGCAGCATTTTTGCCATTGTTTTAAGCAATCAAAGGTAAGGGGTCTTTTGGACTAGCAATTTCAACTGAAGATCTAGTCTTAAGTTACCTGTCTTCATCTTCAGATTCACTATTAAGATTGTGCTCCTCAAGATATATTGCTTTGATCTAAACAGGAATGTTAAGTTTATGAATAACTTACTCTTCTAAACTCTACTCTTCTTTTCTTTGCTCTCTCGACGTAGAAATCATATATAAGTGGAAATTTTTCAAGAAGCTCAATTAATGTTTTCTTTCTAATACACATCATTCTAGTCTCCTTATGACCAGAGGTGTAGCATTCTTTTGAAATATAATTTAAAAGGATTTGGTAATCTCCGAAGTATGTTTAACTGGGTAGTTTGAAGTACTCATTCTACCATTTTGTCTTTAGGCTCAACATAACATTGCCTGACTCGATCAGGTACATCTCAGCAAATCTATCATGCTTTCTGATTATGATTTGATTGGGAACATATATTCTGCAGTATAAGTTGCAAATAAAGTAGCTCACGAATTCTTTTGAAGCTCTAAAATTGGCGTCGCCTTCATAAAAGAAGTAGTTGAATCTTTATTTAAACTCAAAAAATACATCTTCGACTACACGATATCTAAGCTACGGCTTGAGTTAATCAAAGAAATCATAGCCCTCTATTAACATATCAAAGTCTCTTCTAAGTGAACTTGCAATAAATTCTTTGATTTTATCATAAAGTGGCCTAGGTATAGATTTGTCAGATCTGGTATTATCTAATTTTAGCAACCACAAATCTACCTCTTTAATCTTATCGTCTATGATATCTAATGCACCATCTCCTTCATTTAAAATTCTGTTAATGCTGCCCATGATCAAGGCAAACATAGCAATACCGATAAACTAATTTCATAAATTATAGATAAGGTAACATACCTCAACAGCCATTGTAAATAAATATTCTTAGTAGGTCAAACCTTTGATATCTCCATATCCTACAGTAGTAAGAGTTGTGATGACCCAATATAGTGCTGTAATATAAACATCCTCTGATGGCTTATCTATGTATTCAGTAGCCAGTATCCAACTGTTTTATACAGATTGACCTTCATTAACATTAATGATTAAGAATTTACCAATTAAAATCCACAAGCAAGAGAGTAAATGAACCATAAAAATAAGCGAAATCGAAAAACTATGTATAGATTGTAAGTAATTTGAATGAGGCACTAATTAACTTACCTTGAGAAATATTCTATTGTTAGGAATGTTTAACGATTGAAAGCAAGAATGTCAGCCACTCGAAATGTCAAAGATTTCTAAATTTGCAGCATATATGAAAAGTAGAATATTCTGAAACATTTTAAAAAGTAAATGTTCTCGTTTTAGTATGAAACCAAAGTCGGAATGGAAGCTATTAAATCTACCACAAAAAGAGACCTAATTTAAAAGATTATTTGCTTAAGAATTACTTGAGATAATTTTCAGCAATTTTATAAAATACAGGTTTCAGATCATTAGTCATTTGAAATTCTTATTTTCCAGAATAGGTCAAGAATCTCACTAGCATATTTATTACAAATACTATATCGAAGATAGTTTCCGCTGGTCGAGTGAATTCTAGTTTATCTGAAATATCGGTGCACATTCTAATGAGAATAATTATAATAAAAGATAATTACGTATAGGGAACAAGCAATATCTCTCCAATACATGCAAGAAATAGGATAAAATCCCAAAAAGGCTTGAATCTGCTTTAATTTGGAATAATTAGAATAAGTTTGAGACATCTTTGCCTATTTTTTTCAGCTCTCTAACTCTCTCTCAGTTAAATTTGTCTTTCTGCTTCTTGAATTTCATACTCCCGTTTATAGATATCATAATCTTCATTGAATTGTTCCTTTACAAATACTTTATAACAATCCTCAGCACTACATTTAAATTATCTACTGACGACACTTCAATATTTACTATTCCATCTTTTTCAAATATGGTTTAATTTTCTTCTGATATGCTAATTTGACTGTTTATCGTGCAAACTTTGCCATTTCTTTCTTTTATTAGGCTTCCTTTTTCTTTTCAGCTAGATTTTTAATGTCACTAAGAAGTGCTCCAGCCTTTGAGTCACCGATTGGCTCTTTTTTCCTAAAAATAAATAAGTATTTAAGGAAATAAAGTAACGTACCTAAAAAAAGACATACAATAATTTACTAAATTTTAATTTATATTGAGAAATCAGGTAATAGATGTTATAAAATTTTCCTAATTTATTCCCTCTGCTCTTAAAATTTGTAATTATTTCTAAAATTCATTTTAATTTGTTGCATGGGGTTTTGGGGTTTTGGGGTTTTGGGG